CCTGACTTTTAGGCAGAATTTGGGGAAACTTCAATGCTGTGGCCAGTCCCACGGTACGCATGTTAAAGATGCCTCACTGGAGCCACCTAATTGGAAATTTTCTGAACATCCTTAAGATCTAACTACAGTGCGCCTTTATCGGTGTAAATACACAACATGGGAGAATAAATAGACCTGTTCATAAAATACTAGGGGGAACATGGGACCTAAATATACAAACATATTTAACTTGAGATCTAAGAACATAATACTTTGTTGCAAAATCTCCAATATTGAGATATCGAACCATTACCCATAAGCAGAGCAACCTCTTCTAATGCACACAATCGGTTTCCACTACGGCACCCGGTTTATCTCCCGCGTGATATAACCGTTGCCCATAGCGATGACAGTTTTGCCCTAGTTACAGCTCTGAATGTGGGAAGATCGTGTTCGGGTAAACTGTTTTCATGTCTCGTGTAAAAAAGAAAAATACTGGGCAGTCATAATGAAGCTGAGAGCTCCAAGTGCCATTTCTAAAAATATAATCTCTAACAACATCACAAGGCAGTGGGTCCAACTTACATCAGCCTACGTCATCTTAACTACCCATCTTTCATTAAGATTAAAGGGTGGGATAATAGGAGATTCTCGTTTACCTCTCTGTGTTCCGAGACTGGAACTATGGAAGATGCTGAGACATTGATAATACTGCTTATTGCGAGTTATTATTGCTTCAGGCTAGGGAGGCTGGCTTACCAATTGAGATTTTTAAATTGTGCCCATGAGCAAAAGCAGATAAAATTCATGTGTGAGTGTATCTTATATTTGCGTGAACTAGGGATCCATTTTCATCCGGGCCGCTGTCTAAACAACACAAAAATTTGGCAATGCTGAACCTTATAAACTTACATCTTTCCAAAGAAGAAAATGGAAAACTGAGCTGTACACGCTTGTACCTCTGTTTGCAACACGTAATCACTCGTCAGATTTAATGCAGTCTGACGTTGCAGTTCGGTAACACGCGCGTGTGCCACCGAAGGTGGGTAAGGATTGGTGAGAATAATTAAACCTGTTGGAAGTCCTGAAGGACCACTTCTGAATGATTCAAGCCCCTCCTTGATGATCAACTTATTAAAAAATGCATTTATGCTTAATTGCTGAGGGAGACTCTTCAGACGTACATGCCCATGCCGTACATGGAGCCCCAGTCCACTCCTTGGAAGCTCGACATATCAACATTGGTAAGGCTGTACCCCTGGTACGGGTTAGCCGGTACAGGCGGAGCGAGGGTCGCCTGATTTGCAGCCGCGG